CTAAACCTTGCCCACACCACTGAATATTCCCGTCCGCGCCCTGCTTTCCTTCGTCCCTTCATTCCTTTGGGCAGGAACTAGAAGAGGAGGAGGAGGATGAAGAAGAAGAGGAGGAGGCCGGATCAAGTGCGATCGGGCACAGAAACTTCAAGCGAAAAAGACAGAGACACCCCCAACCTGGAGGAAGCACCGGCCCGGCGGTACCTACGGCTAGGCACGCAGACCACCCGGACAACCAGAGCGGCTCCGCCGGTGGTATTCACCCCGAGGCGGCGAGACACCGGGTCGATGGAGACGCTGCTGGCGCACTCTCGCTCCCAGACGCGACCGCCGCCCCTTCGGGGCTCAGCGACAACATGGGCTGTCCCGTGCGCGAGGTAGACGGCAGAGACATCCAGGCGACCGCCGGCGCCCCTTCCCGAGCCGGCAACTCGGGCCCGCTGGGGAACACCCGCCTACTACTCCCTTCGCCGGCACCACCACCGCCTCCCCCGGCACCAGAAGACCTTCCACCGGCACCAGAAGACCTTCCCCCGGCACCGTCCGGCGAGCCCAACATTTTTCAGCCCCCGGATCCAGCCCCGCAGCAGCAGGTGCCCTCCCCTCCTCCTGCAGCGCCGGAGGCCCCCTACTCTCTTCCCTGGGACGATCTACTAGGCGCAGTGAACGATGACGACGAACCCCATGCACAGGCCGTGCCCTGGGCGGGTGTTATCGACGCCCCGCTCATGCCTGCGGGCCCCGCACCGTCACGGTTGGACTTGTTGGAGGTTGGACCCCTGAAATTTGCAGAATCACCGGCTGAAAAATATGGCGGTCACCAAGAAGGCGGGATCGGAATTGAACAAGAAGAACCGGCTGAAGCCGCCGAGGGCGACAATCATGAGCAACAAGGCGGGGATGTCGGAGAGGCGGCGGCACCGGATGCCGCGCCCGTATCCCCTGTAGAACCTGCACGCCGCATCGGTTCTAGGATGAGGCGGCCAAGCCGAAGGCTGATAGAATCTCTCACCCAAGCTTGAGGAGAACGAGTCCCGTCGCTACCCGATGTGTTGCGCTCTTTGCTGCTTGTAGCACGTCGATGGACCAAATGTTCCATGTTTTCATGAAGTTCTCTTCAAGTGTCGTGCAGGTTTGCCCTTGTTTCAAAGGTATCAGGAAGCACGAAGAGTGATTGATTGTGGTTGTTGTGATGGCCATCCGTCCGTCCGTAAGATCTTCTATGCATTAAACGTTGGTGGCATTGTGCATGAACGTTTGTCGAAAATCGGACCAAAAACGTTCATTTTCAGAGGCGTAAGGGCTCGTCGACAGTAAACATCGATAGACTCGTTCGATGATGAAATGGGGCGATTGTCGATCGCATTATTTTCAGGGAGCACGAGGGGACTTCGAGGGTGCCCATACAAACGCCGGGTGTCTGCTTTGCCGCAATCAGACGTAGAAACAGGAAGTATGGGTAACATGACTTCAAGCCCTTTCTTCCTCACTGCTGTAGCCTACAGCTTTGTTTTTTCGCTGGTGGTCTGATGGTGATCTCCGATGCACGAGAGAACTTCTGCTGTATGGGTATGACACGATGCAAACATGCACACTTTTCGACATTTGATGGGAAGAAGCAACGTTGGACCAAACAATTACTGACATGCCCTACGCGAAAACCGAACACAGCGTAGAGATATGCACACGATTCGTATACGTCGTCCATAAAACCAGGAGACAAAACGCAGGCGAGGGCATGACGAACAGAAAGTTATACATGCGTAGTCTACTTGCTTTGTCCAGGACCCCTAATATCCAAAGACGTGCGGAGATGAAACGAAGTCCTTTGAAGCGATTCAGCGCTTGCACGAAAAGGAAGGGCGAATGGCCAAAAGGCTTACAGGCGTTGTGGTGTGTTTCTCAAAAGAGGGAATCGTCCTTGACAGACGTTGGAGACGTTGTGCCCTTTGTGAAAAAGGTGATCTCCACACTAATGTTTCCGACCCTCTTTCCGAGGCTGTCTTGAGTGCTGGTAATAAGCAGTGTAGAAACCGAAACTCGAACGGCTGGAAGTAAGTCCCCGTTTTCATCTTCACAAACTTGTTTCTCTTGTTTTTGTACGCGGGTCAACCACCTCCGCCACAAAGAACCTTCACAAGATCGAAACCTGATTTTTGGTCCACGAGCGATGCATCGCCATCGTCGTCATAGGGTCTTCCTTTTAGTGTAAGATTCTTTTTTGCAGAAAGAAAAACCGAGGTGATGGAATCGAACCCGCGGCTTACCTCCCATCGTGACCATGTTCGTCTACACCAACGTAAAAAGAGGGAGTGGTCCTCAGCAGAGGTTGCGGAGAGCTTACACGCTTAGGTCATATCCACAGGGAATCTAGTCTAGGTAAAGTTTGATCGTTGTGTGTTGAGGGGGGGGTGATTCGCACGAAAACAATCCCTTGCGCTCCGGTAGGACCTACACAAGCAGGGGTCCTTTCCTGTGTTGCCGGAGCCAACCCAGGCCAGCCTCGCACATGATGCAAGACATTTGACGGACGCTTTTGCCGTGATCTCGATTCCATCGGCTTGGTATAAGGTGTTATTTCTCTGGCATTGTCCAGCGCGTCGTCTTGCCCGAGTGGTTAAGGGGATAGATTAGAAACCTATTGTGATGTCACGCGCAGGTTCGAGTCCTGCAGACGACGACGTTCGCTGTTAGGCGACATGCTTTTTACCATTAGCAAGGTCGCCTTGGTGGTCTAGACTAATGGTTTGTTGTTGTTGTTGTTGTTGTTGTTGCTGTTGTTACTGTTGCTGCTGCTGCTGCTGTTGTTGTTGATTTCCCCCATTTTCTTTGTAACATTCGACTGCTCCCAGCTGACATGGACGCTTTCCGTGGTCACGGCCTAACTACCCCGAGAGGCAGGCCTACCATCATCACAACCAGGACATGCATTTTGATAGACTCATTTATAGGAAAGCATTAGAACCCAGAAAACTCGAAACAAGACGCGATACTCTGTATCATAGGGGAAGAACGAGACTCATCGCAATGAAAACCTCTCGGGCTCTTGAAGGGGCTTTCAACGAGACACGTGGACCGGCCGACGAACGACATTTCGGAGTCGTTCCGTTATACAAAATGAAAACACATCTCGCCGCGTTTGTGAAACTGTAATCCCCCGACCAAAACTTAAATGTAGCACTCGGGCACTCGCACTTCGCGCACTCGCGCTTCCTTTCGCCACGCAAGCCTCCGTCCGTTCTCCTTAGGTTGATTCAGAGGATGTGCCGACTCATAAAAATGGATAGCTTGTAGACGTAGCAGACACATGTTTCATCTACACCTATGTACCACGCACTACAGGCAAGATGAGGGGAATTGGTGTAGAAGACTAGTCTATGCGAAACATCACACAATTTAGCGGCCTCCACAGCTTCTAGGTTCTGTGGCGAAGTCCTAAGAACTACATAGCCCTGAGCTTAGAGGCTCCCACAACTTGCCGGTATGGTAATACTAGCAACATTCCGCAGACAACAAAACCACCACGGGTGGGCATAGACTACGTAGACAATGCAGGAACGCACTACAAGAAGACCGTACCGAAAGGCACATAGATTACAATCATGTCTTCCACATTGTTTTGACTTGTTGGCACACGGCCACAAACAACGAAGTCACCATTCACCTTCAGACGCACTCCATCTCTGTGTGTGTGTTGTTTTACTTGACAGTATTGGTGTACACC